GAGGCTTCACCACCCATTTATCCCTCCGCCTTTCAACCAACACCACATGTGATTATCGGCCAGGCTGGCACAATTAACTAACTCAGACAGACAGCTGAGTAGAGTTTATGTTGCTATTTTGATATCCTCTTTAGAGTGATTAAAATCATATGAAGCATTTCAAGCCAAACATTTAGAATGTTCTTGCGGAGAGGTGCTTCTTGCCCACTTCCACAATATTCTGAAGAATATATTCCACAGTGAGTCAATGTCCAGGCTGGAAAGGAACAATCCTAACGAAGAGAGACTAGATCACCTCAGAACCGCCGTAGGAGCTCTTGAATGAAGGCATCACGTCCTCTCTAGCAATTTTCCACTTTTTGGAAACTAGAATACTTCCATAGAGAGCGCACTCCTCTAGAGAGTGCACTTCTATAGAGGAGGGTGCACTTCCATAGAGCGCACTCCTGTAGAGAGCGCACTTCTATAGAGGAGGGCACCCTTTTATGAGGGCGCACTTCTATAGAGAGCACATGGTTCTTAGATCAGGGAAGGAGACCGACAGTTCTCCATTGGAGCCTTCAAGCTTCCGGAGCTCTCTGTGTCTTTCTGATGTTTCCATCTATAACATAGATTTGACATTTCTTTCATAAACGTGCAACTTACATAGTAGGAAGAAGGGTTGTGAATTTCTTTGAGGCAATGAGGAAATGGCACCAGAGACAAAGTTTTGTTCCATTATTTATGATGCTATATGTCCTGATCTATATGAACTTCATGGGAAAATAGCAGATTGCTCTGAGACCATGCTAAGAGCTTCAGCTATGTTTGTTCTGATCTTACCTTAATGAACGTAGGATCCGGAATTCTTGTCTATTTTTTCCCTTCCCTCCTTTCCTCTTAAATTTTTTTATTTTTAGGGCTACTGTTAAACACAGAAGAGAATTAACCCAATCAATTAATACTAATGAGCTGGGATGGAAATAGGCATATTGCCTTGGTTTAGTTAATTATATTTTTCGGCCTTTTATGTTAAGATGCCCAACGGCCATAGGCATCGCTGAATTAAAATTTATTATTTTTATTCCAAGCAATTATGATGAGCCATAATAACAAAGAAGAAATGTGCTACCCTCTTGTCAGAGCTATTAAACATCCCAGGCAAGGGACTCGGGCTTATGGTCTGTAGTGGGGAGGCATCCGTAGGTGCAGAATTAACCAATACATCACCCTCTGATCTGGTGGCCAAGTGGCTTGACGTAAAGTGGTGCAGAGATAGTGATTCATTAAGGGTTGATCAGGGCAGGAACCCTAGAAATTTTCTTCTCCTCAGAGTCAGCCTTGCTGGAAGACCTCCTTTGGCACTTGCTTACCACTCAGAGTGTTTTGTCTCCCAAATGCTTGTGCAGAAACTTGTATTCAGTCTCTGTTGCTGCTTAATAGTGCCCTGGTTTCCTTGAATGGGATTTTCTATTTCTTGGTCGACTGGTATATACTAAAGGAGTTACGTCATTGGCAAACTTTCAAGCCACAACGACGGAGTCTGAATTGACTTAGCAGCTCTGTAACCTTGGACAAGTTGCTCAGCCACTGTCTTTGTTACCTTGTGCTGCTGTAACACACACCCTCGGAGTGGATGGCTTCACAGAACACAAATGCCGTTTCTCATAGTAGTTCTGGAAGCTGCAAGTCTGAATCAGGGTCTTGGCCATTTTGATTTCTCCGGTTTCAGCAGTCCAGGGTGCTCCTTGTTTCCTTAGCCTGCAGATAGATGATCCTCACATGCCTTGTCTCCCCGCACCAGTGTTTGCGTATCTATGTCTTGGTTGTTCTTTTTACAACTCATGGGTGATTAAATTTAGAACCCACTCTACTCACGTGTGATTGAAAGAACAAAACAAAGGCACCTCTACTTTCCAAGAGGAATGCTTTAACAGAGAGAGGGGTTAGGCTTCTAATACATACATGGGGAAGATGCAGATTTGTGTACAACACCCTCCATAAAGCTCAGATTTCCTTCCATGAGTTTCATGCCTGGTTATAATAACAGAAGCATTACGCATAATAGCTAACATGTATTGCTTATAATTATATGCCATCGTGAAAATGTATTGTCCGCCTGTTTGGGGTGTTTTGAGAACTACAGTAGGATGTACTTGTGAAGCCCTGAGCATAAGGCCTGCCCCAGAGGAAGCCCTTTTTCCATGGGAGCTGTTATTATTTGGGGCTGAAGGCTTACAGAGGTGATGGC